AGGGCTGGCCCAGTGGCACACTGGAGAGTGTGCCGCTTGGGAGCGCGGCTCCCGCCGAGGGTTCGGATCCCATGTGGAGACCGGTTCCCGCTCACTGGCTGAGCGCGGTGCAGGTGCAACACCGAGGGCGGAAAAAAAAAAGATACTAGTCTTTTTTAAACCAAAATTATTGCAATAATTTTTTGACTGGCCTCTGTGCCTCTTTCCCTAGGATGACCTAGGACAGTGGTGAGTGTACTCTTTTTTTCGATGAAGGCTAATTAAAGGAAACCTGAAAAGAAGTTATTGGTCAAAATCTTTGTTTTCTTGTTCAAAAAGGTGAATAGCTTTATTGAGCTTCAAGGGAAAATACATGGAAAAGAGACAAAAAGGAAAAGAAAAAAAAAAAAAACAGGTAATAAAGAACAGCAAGATCCAGATTAGAGAACATCCAGAGTATTCTAAGAGACGATGTCTGAAACAAAGGTGAGATGGAGATAGTATGAACAAAGTCTGGCAGAGAAGTTATGGGCTACATGACAGGAAGATTGAAGCCAGACTCTGAAAGAATGTAAATGACAGACAAAGGCAGGCAACAGTGAACCAATAACTAACGGTAACAAGATTAAACACTACCATTTATTAAGTATCAACTATGTTTTGGGTGCCCTATAATGCAAACAAAAACCTATGAATTCCAAGAAAGCTAGGTTATTTTCTTATAGAATACTTAATATTTTAACTTTGCAAAAGAATATTCCATTTTACAGATGAACAGAGAGGCTCAGTTTTGAGCGTGGATGACTTGAGAAAATTCTTTAACCAGAGAGGGTAGTGAGAAGATCAAAGCAGTTTTGACTATAAAACTAACCAGATAACAGAGGATGTATGTACTAAGAGAAAGCAAAGGTTTAACAAATGAAAACATTATTTTTATAAGATTTTAAACTCAATAAAGTGAAATACTTTTATCCCCCCTGCTAACCTGTATCATTCATTATACCATATCCAACAGCAGTTTACAGTGTGCTGAGTCCTGCATATCTAATTAAGCACAAAACAGGAAGGGGGATAACTGCCTTTGAAGAAGGTAAGTTTGAAGAGCCAGCAGGCACTGAAGCATATATATCCTGTAGGCCATTTGGGGAGTAGGGAGACCACAAAGCAGGCAACGGGGCTACTGCTAGCTAGCAAGTTAATAATTCAAAAGTCCTAGGCACTTACACAACCTGAGGACACTTTGGATCTTGCTCTTACACAATAAAATAGGTGATTAACCCAAATATCAAGATTTGTTTGTTCACTTATGATTCCAGAAGCTTTAAACTCATACACCCTAGGTCTTCTCTCTCACAGCAATTACACTGTTTTATAATTATCTATTTGATTTATTCATGCTTTTATTCCTGGAAGCTAATCAAGTGCTAGCACACAGCCCTCGCTCAATAAATGCTGAATGAATGAATGAACTTCTGTTTATATCTTTTCAAGAAACACACGTTCCTATCTTTGTTTTCCACGTAATTTTTGTCTTCCTCTTCCCCCAAAGCAGAATTCCAAGCGGTTCCGACCTACTAGGGCTTATTCACATCCCATTGGGTAAAATCTGTTCCACTCATTCGATATGCTTCACCCTACGAACACATATCACGATACAAATAAGCCTCAAGAATGGCACTCCCTCAGAGACCTATCTTCCCTTCCTCCACGTAGGAACTAAGCAAAACGAGGCACAGGGACGCGTCCAAGGTCACCTCAGCGGGCAGACTGGACTACTACGACCCCGCACAAGGTCGACGGTGCCCTGCGCTGGGAGGAGGTTCCGAGGCTCCATCGAGCCCAAGCCTGGACCTCTTCACTATCCCCCTCAACGTCAACGGGGTGCTGGGTTGGGGACGGTGAGGCTCATGTGGCCGGGGAAGTACAGGGCTGGGAACCCGACTGGCCGCTCATGTCCGCACTGCCCACAGTTACCAAGCCCACGATGACGAGCCTGAGGCTGAGTTCGGCTTGCATCTCGGGAGAATGGACAGGGGAGGGCGAGGGCCGTGGGCAGAGGAGCAAAAGGAAGGCAAGAATAGCGAAAGAGGTTTACCAAGGTTCACGCGCGTATTCCTCCATCTTGGCTCCAGCGGCTCGAGCGATGCCGAGCAAGCCGGAAGGAACCTGACCCCAGCGGCGGAAGTGATCCCGAGAGGAGGGCGTTAAGCTCTATGTGGATTGGTTCATCGTTTCCCTTCGCCGCCAATGAGGGCCGGGATTCCTTGAACAGTAACGTGTGGGCGGAGCATCGGCCCGGACGTAGGGAGGCTGGCCCCGCCCAGGTCCTAGAAGGCTGTGCGTCTGGGCTGTGTGGGCGGGAGCTACCGAGAGACGGAGAGTTCATGTTACCGAGTCACTACGGTTCAGTGCCCTGAGGTAAACCTGATATTATGCTGCTAGGGTTCACCAAACCCCCTTAACAAGTTTCTTTTTTTGAGTACCTGCTGTGGAGTAATGCTACCTAATTTGTCTTGAATTGTGAAGTACTTATCAACTTCTCGTAGCTCCCTCGGCAAAAAGTAAAGCAGTCCATTATAATCACAGTGCCTGGAATGTAGTAGATGCTCAATACACGTTTGTGAAATGGAACTATTTGGGTCACCTGAAGTGCCGTGATAATCAATTTGGGGCCCTCAATTTGGGGGACGTCGATGCCAGAGCCTCTTCCGGTCCTCCCCCCAATGATCACCAGAAAGTGTGAGGAATGGTTAGCCAAGGGCAGAGGAGACTGATCGGCCCTTTTTAGCTTATAGTCAACAAAACCCCAATCATGTGATGGCTGTTAAAGGAGCTCTCCTTTTGTGATTGACTTTAAAGTATGTATGTATTTTACGGAAAAGTCTGTGTAAGAAATAATAGAGACTGCACGGAAGAGTGAGGTTCCCTCCAAAGGCTTGGAAATAAGAGAAGCAGATGAATTGAACCCTCCATAAAACTAAAGAGTCTCAGTAAACGTGTCTTGGATGTGACAAGAACAATTCAGACTAGTCATCTGATTTGGATGTGTAAGTTCGAGAAGACCTGTTTGGAATGTGTGACTGTAATTAAGAACTCTTAAATCTAATTAGTTGTACAGAATGAAGAGAGAATGTGTGAGAGGGGCAACAGAGAGCCTAGAAGGACAACTCAGAGAGCAAGAATGTTTGATGTTTTCTTAGCACTCCAGACCTAGTGGGCATATATATGTGTGTAACTACAGATTTGCATTCTCATGGGGCAAGGAATTTCTTTCTGGTCTCATTAGGACCCAGACGAAATATACCCTAGCTCCAGCTACCTCCCTTTTTTCTTATTCCATATTCATTATGCCATCTTCTGATTATTATTTGGCTTCTGAATAGATTTTCATATAGGAGAAAAATGCCTCCACCTGTGCTCATGACTGTTTTTGTCCACTTGGTAGTTAATATTGGTTTAAGCATATGCGTCTTGTGAGCTTTTCCAGGAATAGTCAGGGTCTCCGGAGAAACAGAAGCAGTAGGGTGTGTGTGTGTGTACACATATATAGAGCGATTTATTATGAGGAATTGGCTCATGTGATTATGGAGGTTAAGAAGTCCTAAGATCTGCATTTGCAAACTGGAGACCTAGGAAACCAGAGGTGTAATTCAGTCCAAGTCCAAAGACACAAGAACCAGAAGAGCTGATGATGTAAATTACATTCAAAGGGCAGGAGAAGATGAGATGAGATGTCCCAGCTCAGCAGTAAGGCAGAAAAAGAGGGACAAATTCCTCTTTCCTATACCTTTTGTTCTATTCAGGCTGTCAATGGAATGGATGATGCCCAACCACATTGGGGAGGCCAATCTACTTTGCTAAATCCACCAATTCAAATGCTAGTCTCATTCAGAAACACCACCATGGACACACTCAGAAACAATGTTTAATCTGGGCACCCCATGGCTCACTCAAGTTGACACATAAAATCAACCATCACGGTGATGATACTGAGTTTCTGAGTTTACAAGTCAAAGTCCTAACTCTAGGTTGTGGTCATTTAGCTCACCTTGTTCCAATAGTCTGTATCCTAAAGGAATTTACCATTCTGGAAGGCCCCACTGAAGTGTCAGCAAGCATTCTTAGATTTCTCACTCTCTACTTTTTTTTAACTGTGACAGATGATAGGGTGTAACAGGACATTTCTGGCTGGGCAAGGCTTAGGATTTAGCCTTTGTTAGCCAGAGGAGAAAGATGTCATCTGTCCTTCAAAAATATCCATTTCCATTTAGTTTCAGGGTGCTGAGTGAAGAAACCTTCTGGAATAAAAGAGGTTGGGTCTAATCTCCCCCTAGTGAGTCTTAAAGATGTCTGGGGGACTGTGGTGGCCCTCACTGTGAATAGTCATGATACAAAGGAATGATAGAAGAAAGCAGCAGAGATCCTTGAGAGAAACCACACCATAAATGTGAGGGAAGTTTGAACTGGTGATTCAACACCCCAGGGTATATTTTGTTCAAGTAGGGGTTCTGGGTCTCACATAGGACTGCTGCTGTAACCCCTTGTGATCCAGGCCCTCATGGGAAAATAGCTCCATATGTTAACTGAAAGAGCTGTGACTCCCGGGCCTGTTTTGCTGTGCAATTTCCCCCACTGAACAAGGTGAAGGAAAAATCTGCCCTTGTACCTGAGCAAGCCACCTGCATAGACGAGCTCTTTGGGGTAGCCGAGTCTGTGCCTTCTTCCTCACTCTAAAGTAATTACCCACCCCTGTCACCCCTCACTCCACAATTGGCTTTTATCCATCTTCTACTTTTGGATAGGTTGACCTGTTTCTTTTTTCTTGGGGGAGGATTCAGTGATGGAGCCTTGAACTGGAAAGAGATGGCCATCAGATTGACATTAAGAGTGGGTTGGTAGTGCCAAACCAAGAAAGAAACTAGAGGGGTCAAGGGTTCGGATCCCTGTACCGGCCTGCTACCAAAAAAATAAAAAAGAAAGAAAGAAAGTTACTAGAGGGATTAGTAAACTCCAAGTCAATTATAAGACCTTTACTTTGTGCTTGGGACTATCCTTAGTTTTGGGACTGGGGTGGGGGTGTACAAAAAAATGTTGACATAGTTCCTACTCTCATGCTACCAAAAAAATAAAAAAGAAAGAAAGAAAGTTACTAGAGGGATTAGTAAACTCCAAGTCAATTATAAGACCTTTACTTTGTGCTTGGGACTGTCCTTAGTTTTGGGACTGGGGTGGGGGTGTACAAAAAAATGTTGACATAGTTCCTACTCTCAGGGTCCTTAAAAACATACTTGGGGAGAAAGAATGTACTCTTGGGAAATCATTGTTGGGTCAAAATTATAAAATGCCAAAACTGTGTGTCATAGCATCTGATAAGTGCTAGAGGCATTCAGAGGGGCAAAAGAGGCATTCTGGGGACTAGAGTGTGCTCACAAAACTTGAGTGAGAAGTTAGCATTTAAGCTATAGCTTGAAGAGTGGTGGGATTTTCATAGGTGGAGAGGATGAAATAAGGCATTTAAGATAGAGGGAATGAGAGCAACAAGGCATGGGGGCAGGAAGGAACATGTTATCATCACTGGATGAGCTGCTGGTCCTGCTGGGAGAGTGGGAAAGAAGCAGAGTGAATGAGGCTGTGTCAGTGATAAGGTTCTGATCTTGGGCAGTAGAGTGGGGAATGACGGAGGAGCAAGATTGGAGTAGTAAGCTGTGGGTTGGGAGACAATTCTCCACGGATCTTTCATGTTTCTACACATCTAAGCATTAAGAACTAACTTGTTTTAGACTATTCAAGAATGTTTGTATAAGCAAGTAGACTTGGACAGCTATCCACAGTGACTTCCTCTGCAGCAGATTCATTTCCATTATAAAATAGAAGTTAGAGATATCTCCTTCCCCTCCTTGGGGCAGATTTGTTTACCTTCCAGGGTAATAAAGGTATATTAAAGTTTTATCTACTTTATCTGCTGTATTAAAGTAGCTGAGAGAGTTCATTCTAAAGGCTACAGTCCTTTCGGTAGACAGTGCAGTCATCGAGTGAGGAGCAAGCCTGAAATGGCTTCTGGCGGAATGTGCAAGAGAATAAACCACAAATGAGTAAGAGAACCAAGAATCCTTCTTTCTACCCAGACCCAACCCATAAAGGAAGGGGCATGGACATCTTCAGGATCTGCCCATCCTGACAACTCAGTGCATGCTGACTTAGAGGTTCCTGGACCTCGGTAGGTTGCACTACATTGGGCCAGAGGCTGCTGGGGCCTAAAGAGCTCCATCCACCTGGAGGTCACAGGCCATGTATATGGCTCCATACCCCTTAGTCTCACCTTTTCCAAGGCTCTTAGAAACTCAGATTGGCATGGATAAGTAAGGCTCCACCACAGCCAGCTCTTGAGTTGGGTTCCAGTCTGTGACAGGAGTTATTTGGAGGGCAGAGGGGTTTTAGCCTGGCTGGGGTGAGGCTGGGGGAGACAAACTTTTTGTCTTTTTTCTGCTCTCTTTTCCCCCCCCCCCCCCCCCTTTTCAAAAAGACGTTAGTCTGGCCTGTGTTCCTCTCAAGCTTTCTTCTGCCCATTTCTGCTCATCTCAGGAATGCTGGGCCAGACCCGTGGCTTGCTTCCAGAGATAAAGTCTGCTGCTTTCTTCCAGAGAAACTTCCAGCATCCCCCAAAAGAAAAGAACCACTGTGAAGATTACTCTCTTTTGTGGTTTCACATACTCTGGCTCCTACCTTAGCCATTATGTCAACACTCTATTGATCTTTAAATATGTTCTCTCTCTCTCTCTCTCTCTCCCTCCCTCTCTCTCTCTCTCTCTCTCTCTCTCTCTCCCCCCCTCCCTCTCTCTCTAGTTTAAATGGCAAGCATTGAGTGCTTACAGTGTGTGTGATGCTGTTAAGCAGTTTGCATTCATCATATTTAATATACTGAATAACTCCATAATTCTGTGAGATATGTACTTTTTTTCCCTTAGGTAGATACTTTTAACATCTTCATTTTCCATTTCCTAAGGCTCAGAGAGTTTAAATAACTTACCCAAGGTCACACATCTCAGATTTGATACCACGTCATTTGACTCCAGACCCTTTGGTGTTATCCACTATGTTATACTGCCTCCCCACAGTCCTAAAAATGTAGCTTTCCTGGGGTCATTCAGCCCAATTTAGAGCCTCCTAA